CAGGGGGTTGGACTAGATGACCACCTGAGGTCCCTTCCATGTCTAATTTTCTATAATTCTATGAATGTAAGAGGACACAAGCATCCAAAACAAGTCCTGCACCCAGCACACATAGGTGCTGCCCATCTACTAAAAGTTACCAAGATACTGAAGTTATACCATAGGTCAAATCACATACCATGCTTACCTGAATCTAAGATAAGGTTTCTTTCCCCATTCAACATGGGTGGAAGCCCCTCATCTTAGATTTGAGTACAAGCAGAGGGGAGCTCTGACTCAGACCCTAGGGTGGGGAGGGGGCAGGCAGAAGGGGAGGACAGGTGCTGGGGATGTAGGCACTGCAGGGAGGGGCAAGCATCGGGGCAGGCATGAGGGAGGGGACAGACAGAAAGGGAGGGAAGCGGCAGTGGGGCAGGTGCTGGGACGGGGGGAAGGTGAGACGGGTGCAAGTGGGAGGATAGCAAGCAGCAGGGTGTACAAGCATGGGGCATGCAGGCACCAGGAGGGGAGCACACAGCTGGGTGGGGCAGGTGGCAAGGGACAGGAGTCAAGGCTCAACTCCCCTGTTGCCTGTCATACTACCACCAGCCCCCTGCTGCTGTCTGCTCCACTGCAGCAGTGGGGGGAATTAATTTAAGATGAGCTTGCAAAAATGAGATTGTACACATGGAAAATTACAACAAATTTATCAATCTCATGTCTAGAATCTAATTATTGATGGATCCTCTTAAAATTAGAGTCATCTTAGATGTGGGTACAGTACCTTGTTGGAAGTCAACCTTTCAAATTAAATAAGACAACGTAAGCAGAGTTAAATGTCTGATTACAAGCAAAGAAGGAAAGTTAGGCACATCTCCAGCATACGTACTTGCCCTCCTGTTTACAAGCCTAACAAAACTGTAATACAAAACCAAGAAAATTACTCCAAAGGGAAGAAATGGGATGCGAGGCAACAATTAGGGTTACTGTATATGTTCAAAAGAAAAGAAAAGAAGAATTCCAGTGCGATGGTCAGCAGCAGGACACTTGTGATTATTGCAAAGAAAGGGGAAAAAGAAGAGCCCAAGTCTTCAAGGCTGCAATTAGTGCCATTTACCTCTAAGGAAGAAATCTGTCATTTTCCATAAGAGAGACACCTTGCTAAACTTATTGCATACAACATCATCTTTTCACAGTAATTAAATAGCAAATATAAATATTTAGGTAACTATTTAAACAAGGTATTTCTTAATTAAATAAACCTGTATGTTAGAACATAGCTTCCATATGAAATGTTATAACAATATAGTACAGGAAAAATCAGGGGTAGACCAGATTGTATTAAAGAGTTTTTACTTGCATTAAAAACATTGAGAGAGAACTTTGCTTTAAACTAAATTAATATGCAATAAAATCAATGCCCAAAATGTACTTTTGTCATGTAATATTGTCATGTTGTCATACCAAAAAAATCTGAAAAATCCAAAAAATAGATCATATGGCACCACTTAAGCTCAATTATTTATAATTCAGTCCTAGGCCCAGCTCTAAAAATGAAAGGACAATTTCAGGACTATCAGTTAATAAATGTGTGAAAATTCAATTGATTCTATTTAGTTAACTAAACAGCTTATGCACCTCTCGAGTAAGTTTCATTCAAACAAAAGAATTCCCCAAATTGTATTTCTTCTAAAACCATTTTTTCCCCTCAAAATGTTTTTTTGTAAAAAGTAGTAGAAAAAAACAGTCTTGCCATACAAATATTGGATTCCCTCCTACCCCGGCCCCAAATCAGGAGATCTTGATTTCCTATCTGCCAGAATTCTTTCCCTCATTTTCCATATGTGAAGTGTGAGACTGTAATATATATCCCTGCCTTATAAAGGTGCCAATGCTTATTTTTTATGAACCATTATAGAACTGCAATGTAGTACTAATTCCAAACTTCAGGTAAAAACTGAGCTGTCTTTAAAGTTGAGCAATTTTCATTTAAAATTTACAAATAAAGACAAAATATTGAAGTGCAGATCACTATTTTTATTTACATATTTTAACAAGTGTGTTAGAATACCTGGTTATTGTTTTTGAATTCTTTGCGTTTTCATTTGTTCTAAAAAAAGCCCTGGAATTTTCCAACATGCTTAAAAGAGTTAGTTTTCTTAAAAATCCTCTGCCACCCGTTGTAATAAACTGAAGTAACAAACCAGAACACTATTACATAAATATGTGCAAATGTTTAATACTCAGTCAAACAATTTATATAGTATTTTGCCAGCTCTAAACAATCAGCATCTAAAAACAAGTTCCGAGTTTGCTATGGGTGCCATATGGTGACACTGCTATGCTATGCCACCATAGTTTAGTATTTCCGTTTGGAAGAACAAAAGTAGAGCGTGGTACGGGCAGTTACTGTGCCTTGCGCATGGCACATAGTTACATTTTGCCGCTACGTTGCTATAGCAGTGCACTATATCCAGGGAGTGCGCCACTATGGCAATGTAGCTGGCAATCACGTGTGTCTACTGCTACATCGCAATAGGGCGACGTGTAGGCACACCCAATAGGTAGCAACCTACTGTATTCTTTTTTGGCATAGCATACATGCAAATGTCTGAAAGTCTTTCTGGTTTTATCCAGACCGATGTAGAAATTAATTCTTAAACTAACACTCAGCAATACTCTATTCTAAAATGTGCTGCTTAAACATAAAAATGTTTCAGTTTTTAAAATGTGCCCTACATAGAATTTGCATAACTATAGAGCTACTGGACACCTTTTATGAATAGGGTTCAGAAGAGTAACGGCACCTCAAAAATAGTTTATGTATTTGTGCTTCCTATATGGACTGGTACAATTATATTTGCCCATTTATGAATAACAGGAATAAACAACACAAGCGATCCAATTATTGAAACCAGAAGAAAAGTCCATAAAAACATTCGATCAAGCACCTGAGCTATAAATTTCCAGTCTTCAACAACCTAAAAAACAAAAAACAAAAAATGATCAATATGGAATACTACAGAACACTTGAAAAATACAACACCAAATACAGTGTTCATTCAGACAATCCATGGTGTCTATTTTCAATTATGCCAACTTCATAAACAACCAATCTCATTTTTGTATTGTTACACTGTGAGCTAGAGCAGGAAAGCAATCCCCCTTTGTGAAGAGGGCAGAACACACATTAATTATAGCCCATTAGCCAGAGTTACAACATCAGAACCTGACTCTGAAAAATGCTGGTCACCCAGAACTTCCTGGGAACTGAAGACACTGAAGTTTGTGGGTGTCCTTAAATTGAACACCTATCTGCATCAGGCAGCTACAACAACAGAGTTTCTTCTCAATAAGATTAGAATGCAAGCGGAATGGGCTTTTTGGTTTAGGACAGGAGTTGTGTATTTACGGAATTTGTGTATTTAGAAAATTGTGTTCTTCAGGGTCTTTTTAGCAAGAATCAAATTCATCCAAAATCTGAACAACAGTTTTGCCTACTTGTGATAGAATTTATCTAAAAAATACCATCATTATTCTGTAGTTACATTAACTAGAAAGGTAAAGTTCAACATGGTTAACCTATAAGGTTTTGTAAAATTATAGTCAATAGTTCACAATCCGAGAAGTTATCAAAATCTTTAAACTATGCGGAAGAAATAAGGGCTTTTTGTCATGTCATTGTGCAAATGTTTTCTACCACATAGAGCCCTAAATGAGAAAAACTTCTGAACCCAGTCCCACTTTAAAGGCAAGACCAAAAATAAGAACATCACTTGCTACCAACTGTTTGCAGGATTGGTCCTCTAAAGTTTTGACTCCTTGTTGTTCGCTTTTGTTCCCCTCAATTATCTCTCAGTAAAAATAATTACAAGAGTTCTAGTTTCTATGCTTAGGTTCTGATCTTACAATAAACTTTGCATGGGTGTAGGGGTGTGTCTGTGTGAATCTCATTGCAGAATCAAGACCCTGGATTGCATTTTTATTTCTTTTTGGTGTTTTGCTCATACAACTGTATTTAACATATTTAAATTATAAACAATAGGATAATGCAACATTATGGCAGAGAATGCAACTGATAAAGCGGAAAAGCAATTGTAGCCCTTCCAGCTCATATTCAGGCATGCAGTAATTTGAATGCCCAGTTCCTAAATGCACATTCAAATACCACTACACACATTTTCCTTATAAACACCCTAATAATTCATTGCAAAAAGCTTAACAGTTCAACACCACATTGGAAAAAGTAAACAAGCCTTCTCATTTATTCCCATGAAAACCAAATCAGTGGAGTTGTGCAGTGAGAATGAAAGAAAAATCAGTGTCATAACACCCAAAGGACAATACTGACTACAACTATATTGTAGCCATAATGCACACAAAGAAACTATACATTTAATATCATACTGTACACAAGAAATGGTGTGTGTGTGTGTGTATTATATATAAAAAAAACGAAGTGCATGTCTATACGTATGTTTGGTTATAAACCTGAGAATGGCTGGTCCTATCTAAGCTCAACTTTCCAAAAATCACTGAATACCACCCAAGGAAAATTATAGGTGAGTTATTTTTCACTTGACCCTTTTTGGGGCTTCTATTGACTAGGATTACTTCAGATAACAAACTGACACCACTCCATTTTGGATAAAGTGAATTCAGTTCAATTGTCATTATTATATTGATGCTTGCCTTTTTTTTTCTTCACGTTAAATATTAAATGTTAAATATGTTGTACTATGTTCTTGAAAAATAAACAATATTTTTGACCTAAATATGTTGTACTTAGTTCTTTGAAAATAAACAAACACTGCAACTACAAAAATAACAACCCAAGCGAAGAACAGGTACTTCAGTTAGTACTATATAAAACATGAGGCTAAAGAGATGCTATTTTAGGGATGTGCTACAGTTATGCACATGTAGACTGCTACTCCCATGAGAATGAACATCAGGAGAGAGACTTGGGAAAGCAGCAGATAAGCAGACCTGGGGGAATAGGCAACGGACATGCAGACTAGTTTCCCATGTAGGTCAGGTCAGGTCAGCTCTGGAAGATGTGTTATGGGAGGTCTGTGCCTTGCCAGCAGCAACTGTATGATAGCATCAAAAGCTATTACGTACCAAGTCACACAGCAAAGTTGTTATTTTGTGTTATATATTTTCAAACACTTCTACAATGGCCTGAAATAGTGTGTTTAGGCTGTAGAAGTTCCAACAAATTTTGGACAAGGAAAAAATACATTAAAGATGCTCTTAACTGATGTCACCTTTATAACAACACACTGGATCAGGCTACCTAGAGAAGTTGTGGAATCTCCATCCTTGGAAGTTTTCAAGAGTAGGTTAAACAGCTACTTGGCTGGGATGGTTTAGTTAGGGATAATCCTGCCTTGAGTAGAGGGCTGGACTACATGACCTGTGACTACCCTTCCAATCCTACTTTCCTACGATCCTATAACTTACCATCCATTTAAAAAAGGCAACTTTGGGGTGAGGACTTATGGACTGAAAACACCTTTCAAAATGCTGATGATTTAAAACACACTCCTCTGATATAAGATATACAACAGTTACCACTCACATTTAATCAAACTACAACTTGGGGCAGTACTCAGAAGTCTATTATACATAAAAATAGTTTTGATTTGAATTTTACAGCTGCTAATTTTTTCTGAGTAGTACTATTTCTGATTTTGAAATCTTTTTTTTAAGTTATATTTTTAGGATGAATTGGTACTACACCACATTTTTATTATAAAAAGCAATGAATTTTAAACTTAAAAAGCATCAGAATTATGAGCATTTACTTCCCTGTAATAATGTAAAAATAGAACAGCTCCTAAATACACTCCTGGCAAAAATAAAAAGTAAAAAAAGATTTACAATGTAGATTAATGTAATTGGCTAAATAACTCTACAGCCTTTACAAATAATTAAAAGAATATATTTTTAGAAAGACCACAACAGGCTTGAATGAACAAGAGGGCCATAGAGATTGTACAAGAAGCCTTGATAAATACATACACTTTGCCATACTTGTATTTTTTTGTTTGTTTTTTTTTACGAGGTCATGGCACTGCTTCCATTAAAGCATGACAGACAGAAATGCTAACTCATGTCAAGCTACCTCTGGTCATCAGCATACTTAAAATACAGTAAGGGATGTGTACTCTATGCCATCATTTAGATTCACATTCTAATTTCTAATCTTACCAAATGAGTGCAACGTGACTAATACACACACCTCACGAACTTCATTCTCCTTCATGACATGCCTTGTAATATATCGGATGGAATCCAGAGCTGCTTCCAAGGTATTCCTGGATGATTCTGATCCACTGATATTGCTACTTTCTTCTTTCCGAGCAAAATATCTATCTACATGACTTCTCATGCAAAGTAGTTTTGGAAGTTTATGAAGAAATATCTTGCGGACCCATGGTGCCATACCATTGTGTGTAGAGGAGGAACGATGATGAATATTAATAGCAAAGACAGTTATCACAATGGACAGTGTCACAAAAATCATAGTAAACACCAAATATTCTCCAATAAGTGGTATAACTTTAGAAGATGATGGAATAATCTCTTCTATGACAAGAAGGAAGACAGTCAAAGACACCAGTACTGAAGTACAGAGAGAGATTTTTTCACCTTCATTTGAAGGAAGATAGAAGACAAGGATAGTTAAAAATGAAAGTCCTATACAGGGAATAATGAGAAACAATGTGTAGAAAAGAGGCAAACGTCTGATTATAAATGAATAAGTAATAAATGGATACCAGCAGCATCCATCAGTTCTGTTCCCTTTGCTTCCTGTTGCAGTTACTATTTCCCATTCTCCATTATCAAAAAAATCTCTCTTGTCAACATCATAATCTTCTAGAATTATATCAACCTGTGAGCCATCATAAGTCCAGGAACCAAACTTCATAGAGCAGTTTTGGAGGTCAAATGGAAAGAAGGTAACATCAATAGTACAGGAACTTTTGTAGTTTGCTGGTGGAGTCCAAGCAATGGTGCCATCGTATTTTACTACTGTTTTTGTAGAGGTTCCTTCAAAACGGCCATCTGCACTAAAAAAAACACAAAACAAAAACCAGTAATGTTACTATTACATTCATTTTGGACAAGTGATTATAATGATGTGCTTCCAAAGTGTCATTTCAGATACTTATGAGATTTTTTTACCTTCTGAGAATAAATTTTGCACATTTATTTACAGCTCAGTAATTGTTTTGTTTTTTTAAGCAAAACCCATTTAGTTGCTTGGGGGAAAGGGTGTTATAAACAATTTATCGTTTAAAAAAATGTGATACTTTTAAAAGCAGTTTTAGTGCTGCATTATAAAAGCACTAAACATCTGATTTTTTTCCTGGACATAGTCCCTAGTCAAAAGATGTCCTTAGTGGTAGCCTAGCAAAAATCTATTTTAATGTAGCCAAATAATACAGATATTAAAAAAATCCACATGGCACCAAATGTTATTCTATAAATACAATAATAGACTTATTATCAAATATTATACCATTAAACTACAGGGACTGTACATGTATATTAAAGTTAAATAGACACTTTCATTTGACATTTATTCTACCTAGGTCTATTATCTCTATGCATGAAACTTACTTAATATGTCAGTGTGTAAGTCCAGTCCATAAGAGTGCGTATGGGTGGCTACAGGCTATTATGTACACTCGGGACTCAAAAATCCAGGGGGAATTCTGAAAGATCCTTTGCATTATTACTATTCTTGAACAGAACTACATCCAATATCTAACTAGCAAATAGTGCTGCATGAAGGAATTTGTGTACCTGTTTTTTCTTTTTAAATATCTAAAAAATAGATACAAGAACAAAATAAAGGTTGCAAAACAAACTAGTCAAAAGTCTGGAAATGCCAAATTTAAGGTTGCCCGTACAGTCATAAACTCAGCCTCCTTACTTGTACTGTGTTATGACCATCATATGATTATAAACTATTCTGTAGAACCTAAATCTTAATTTATGAGCAGGTTGGGTAAAGAATGAGAGAGGAGTAGTTTATTTTATAAAAATAGATTACAATCTTACTTGTCGTACAACACAATGTCTGGGATCCAAATGGAATCTGATGGGACACGAATAGATGTTATTCCAGCATAGTCTTCAGGATTCCACCTTAATTTTACATCTATCCATTCCTGTAAGTACATGATAAATGTTAAAAAAATCATGTCTGTAAAGAAAACTTAACATAGGCAATGTGGGCATGAAAGCAAAAAAAGCAGAAACAAGTTAATAAAGATCAGACTTCTGGTTTCCATGATTTTAATTACTACATCGATCCAAGAAGTGACTGGTTCAGTTTTCAGTTCTTCAGTTTTAAAGACATTTTGTTTGACAACACTTCTATATGGTGTTCAAATATTTAAAGCTTCTTCATTTTAAAAAACATTCACCTACATGGAAACAGTTATAAATAGTAATGGATAATTTTAAAGATTTGGTTTGAATGAATGTCCAGACGTTTAGGCACTTCTATAAAGGTGGTCTAAAATCTATACTCAGAAAACAAATCCCATTGTTTCATGAGACTGCTAGTACTTCCTGGTTCCATCAATACTGGAAAGACCAGCACTATGAGTATCTTAGCAGTTTGGTAATATTTCTGAATTTTAAAAAAATATAGAAGTGCAGGAGACAAACTGAATCTCCAAAAAGATCATCATTTGGACAGACCTTTAAATGAGATAATGTGCCTAACACACAACAGAACTGACCATCAAACCTAAGTACTTGCAGTGACAGTCTGGGAGGGCAGGAGGGCAAAGACTGAGGCAGTCTGCTGCTTCAAGATGGGAGGGAGCTGTGTCTACTTCTGCCTTCATTTGACCATTTAATAGTTAAGCCAAAAAGAAATACCCAGCTGTACCTGGCAGATGTATTAGGGGAAATGGAAAAATGGAGGGAGATCCACACATACAAAGTTAGCCAGCTCTGTGCTTATCTGGGTAGCAGCCCTAAAGATTCTTTGAAGTAAATGTGATATAAAAGGACTGTAGGCCAAAATTTAAAAATGAATGTATAGCAGTTTAAGGGGAACTTGGTAATAAATAAATGCAATGCTAATAATCATTTCCAAGTTTAGCTCTGGGTGGTGACTACTATAACTTGCAGACATATTCTGTTTACAAGTAAATACGTTTGGTTTTTTTTACAGCCAGTCCTTTTCCCTAGAACTCCAGGTGGTTTATAGATTCTGAAATCTTAGACTATGTTAATCTCAAAAGGCTCATCATACTATCTTGGCAGGATAACTTTACAATACTTTCAAAAACACTTATACAGCATGTTGCTTACAATAGGTTTTGACCATAAAACCCCTAACTAGTGCTTCTTTACAGAAAAGTTAAAATATGTCTTCCATATCTAACTTATAAAATAAACTTTTCTAAAATGTTTGAATCTCTTATTACAGTTTTGTTTTTGTAAAGACAGGTGGTTTTTAGAAAAGTGTATTATTTTGAAACAGTGTTACAGCTATTAATTCTTTTTTTAAAAAATCAGGTACACAAGACAAAATTTAAGCTTATGCAGTTTTTAGATAAAGTTCCTGTAACACACACTTCAATTTTTTATTTTTTTTTTATTTTTTTATTTTTTTTTTTTTTATAATTTTACATTTTAGTCAGGTACACCAAAATATTCCATAGATATTTTGCACATACCTGTTTCAACCAGACATTTGTTGTCATCAACTGATTTTTCTCATCCTATAAAAATAAAGCAAGTTTTTATGCAAAAAAAGTTTTTCACTGCATTTCACAATAACTGACTTTGTTCAAATGAGGACCATAACTTATCATATAAACTTTAACTCAGGACCCTGAAAATCATATTGGTCCTATTTTCTATTTTCAGAACAGTAATCTTAACATAAAAAGTGATTCTTCCTTTCCATATATAAAGTGTGTGTGTGTGCGCGCGCGCGCGCGCGTGTGTAATAAATAAATAAAAACTGAGAAGCTCCTTTAAAACCATGTTAATAAAGAGCCCGGAAAAGGCTTTCCATGATTCTTACTCTTCTTAAAAACACTAAACTCATTTTCCAAAGGTTCTCAATTTGAAAATAATATTTTGAAGTCAGTAAATTTAAAGTTGCCATCTTTAATATTATATATTATGCCAGGAAGTCATCTTCATTTCTATGGAACTAACATGCTCAAGAAAATTCTATCTGCTATTCTTTCCTGCAATAGATTGTCTTTATTTTTATAGTAATAGACTAACAATAAAACAGATTACTGTGTTTATAAAAAATATGGCTCATTCTTGCTTGAAATTTGAACAAACAGAAAACATAACTCTTCAAATACTAAAGTTTCATGTGAATCTTGTTAGGCTGAAAGGTTACTTTTTCTCATCAATCTTCTGCTTTGAACATCCTCCTGTTCTTCCTTCATCTTCACTTAGAGACTCTCTCTTTCTGTGGCTTGCATTCTCACCCTGTTCTTAGCTTATTGTATTTAAAATCCCAGATGTATATAATTACAGTACTATTATTTTCATAAGCACTTTCCTATTCTGAAAACTTTGCTTGTAGTTTGCTTTTAAAGGAATTTAACATACATACCACATCCACTAACTGGGAGATTGCAAGACCAAACTTTATTTTTATTGTGTCATTCAAGTGTTCCACTGGGCGAACCCATCTCTGATAGTCTTGAAACAAGTGCTTAAATAAGCGATCTTCACTTTTTGCAATAAAGGAAGGTTCTGATGTACCTGCACAAAAAAAAGAGAAAGTTAACATTGAGTGAAATTAAATAAAACTTGTTTTCCTAAGAACTACCAACTTGTGACATTTAATTATGTAAGTAGTTATGTTCATGTAGAAATCAAATTTATCTAATCCCCTTCTCTTTGCAAGAGTGTTACAGGTTAAGTTTTTATAAAAGTCACTATTTCTATTATTCATTATTCTCCAACAGGCAAACAAATTCTATGGGCTTGTCTACATGAAGTCTTAATTTCAGATTTAAAAAATTTATCTGTTTAGATTAAAAAACTGTTTTGTTTGTCAGATTAAAACTGTACTGTTTGTTAAAAAGGACTTGTGTCTGCATGATGCTGTTCCTTACTATACAGTAAATGAGAAGGCACGGTGCTGTTTGTCATTCCATCTGAAACTGCACTAATTTCACATTACAGTAAGTTACTGCATCCTCATGGACATGCGATCACATCTGTGCTGTAAATGGTTCTGGAAGTTCTCCTGCATTGCACTGTGCCCACAGAACAGCCACTCTGTTAACCTGCACGTCCTCTACTGCTGTAGGATCATGCTGACTGGGGGAAAATGATAGTGTTCAAATCCCAGTGAGCAACCACTTCTCCATTTGCACTTGTATGCTTATGGAATCAACACAGCTAGCATTTCATCCTAGCCCTACACCATGCCTTGTGCTAGATCATCATAACAGTGCTGAACTCCTAGACCTCCTCATATTTTAGGTGGATGACTGTGGAGTCTGGACAGCAAAACACATGTGTTTTTTAGGCTACTGAAAAAGGAGTGCCTGAGCAGAGTCACAACCAGGACTTTAGGCAGTGCCACCTTAAAATAAAAAGTAGATGAAAATGCCTTACAAGAAAACAAAGGTGAGAAATGAGACCTCCAACAGAGTCTGTTTTTTAAGTCACCTGAGCATATTCCAGAGACACAAACAGGATTTCGTCATGGAACACAAATACACCCATATGTCATCTCCAATACTGCCAATACACACAAAGGAAAGTGGAGTCCAGGACCAAAGAGCACTCCATGGACAAAGATATGCTCAAAAAAACAGGACCTCTGACATGCAAGACACCACCTGAAACATGTCCCCTTCCCCCAAGATAAACTAGACACCCAGCACCAAATACATGTTACCAACATTTCTTCTGGCCTTGAAAACACTTTCATAGTACAGCTCAGGGGCAGGTCGGGGGTGGGGGGTGGGCAGGGTAAAGAGGGAGAAGCAGGGGCATGGATGCCCCCCCACCCCTTTCAGTTAACCATGCCATAGGAGTCAGGGATTTTTTAAGTCCCCAAAACAAGTAAGGATTCCCCACTTCCCTCAGTGCTCAGAGGCATGTCCCCTCCCCTCCTCTGCTGCTGTCTCCAGCACCCTGGGGGTGGGATGGGGAGCCCAAGAGCCACTCTGACCAGAGTGCACACAGCCAAGCTCAGCCAGAGACAACAGGGACAGGTCCCTGCCATCCTGGGAACAGGCATGGGGAAAGGGAACCCATCCACTGCTGTCTCTAGCAGAGCCTGGATCCACGGGCAGCCTGGCTGAAGCAAGGCTGAAATGACTCTGAAACTCTCCCTCCTCCCCCCCCAAACGAGGGCAGAAGCAGCAGGAGGAGGGGAAGGGAGGGCAGCAGGAGGGGAGGGGAGGTGCAGCTGAGCACAGAGAGGAAGGGAGGGCAGAAGGAAGATTTTTACCTGTTTAAGGGGCTTAAAAGTCCCCAGCTGCTGCTCCTGCAGCATGGTCTGTCCACCCTGGTGTGTATGAGAAAGGAGTGGGAGTGGGAACACAGCCACCCCTGCAGCACTGGTCAGTGCTCTCACACGCTCCTTCATAGAATCCTGAATCTACCCAGAGTGCAGCTGGCCACCTGAGAATAGCTGCAAGTCTCATAACCTTGCCATTGTTTCAAAAGCAGTGGTGTTCTGTGCTATAATGTGTCAGATATTTTACTGCCTGAAGTTCATGCCACCATCTCAGGCAGATGTGGCCTAGTAGTTTGTCCAAATTCTACTTCCCTCCTTTTATGACCTCAAAACGGTGACTTAACTTTCCCACAATCAGTGAAAGTACAAGCCATTTTGCAAAGGGCAGCCAGCTATGCACAGATTACCACTCTCATTTCTAGCTTGTCCTCCTCTCTCCAAACCCTGCCTACCATGCCATGTGTCCAAAGGGTGACTGTTCCACATTTAAACAGAAAACTGACACAAACTTGATAGCAGACCATTCTATTGTTTTAAGCACTCCTGTTCTATTAAAAAATATGTATTTCATTTTGACCAACCATATATATTTTAGAGTGTAAGAATTAAAAAGGTTTGCTTCTCAGTACAAAAATACATTGCAACCATAGAATTCAATTTAGGAAATGTATGGTGTGCAAAAACAGCATCAAAACATCAACATTAGTAAAACCCAGTGAGCCAAACAATCATTGCAAAACTGCATTTATGTCATAGGAAACTTCTGGCACGTCTGCAGGGGATTTAAAATGGAATTTTAGGTAAAGGAAACTTACTAAGGTGACAAGGAAAAATGAGTAAAAGCACCAAGCAAGCCAGAAACCCTCAGGCACAGGTGATGAGAAGGAACTGAGATGTCAGGGCAGTTCTCCCCTTTATGACCTTTAAGCATAGGGCACATGTACCATGACCACAGGCTCTGCTGCAGAAGCTCCGACTAGTGCTCTGCATACACATGCCATTGCCTGCAACTGAAGAACTGAGTGTGTGCACAGAAAATGTTCTTAAACTACTTAGTCATACTGATGGGTTCTAAACTGACTGAAACCATTGACAAGAGAGACCTAAGCATTACTGTAATTAACTCAAAGCATAACAAAAAAAGTCTGAATAAAACGTTAGTATTATTCTCTATTCCTTTCTTAATACAGATTTAAAATATTATATTATATAAATATAAGGCTCTCCCATACCAGAAGTTCACTGCTATCAATCTATAAAGGATAGCAGAAAAAGTAAAGCGCCAGACAAGGGAACAAAATGTATTAGAGACTGGGAAAGACTTCCCAGAACAGGAACAGATTAAGACCATTTAAATGTACAGAGGAAATAAATGTATTGAGCATGACAGAAGTAGATAAAATAGTGAATGGTACACAGAAGGTCACTCATAATAGAAGGGAACAATTAAAAGTAGTGTTACACATATGTACTTATATAAATACAATTCTCACACAATGCTCATTGCCACAAGGTCTTAAGTGAAAAGGTTGAGTGGGGTTCTGAGCAATGATTAAAGCCTTTGTGAACAATATAACACTAACTTAATTCATTTTTTTCAAGGCTATTGTGCATGCTTTGGGATGTAAGACAACCCTCACTACAGGAAGTTATGCAGAAGCTTTTCCCATCATGTTACTGCAAAAACTATCCATTATGGATTTCTTCTCAAGTACAATGTCTGAACAAAATGCAACCTAGGAAATTATTTTTCCATGCTGCTAACTGGCCAAAGCTAATGTCAGCTCTCTCACGAAGCTGTGGTATGGTACCAGCAAAATCCACAAACCACTTAGAAACCCAGGAAGAACATACATATTGACAATGTGTTTCAAATGAATTAATAGAGTGGGCTTGTTTAATGCACTACTAAAACACATGCAAAAATCCATTAAGAATCATTCCCAGCACATGCAATAGTCCTGCACTGTTGTGAATGTAGCCATATGGGTGAGTCTGACAAGCGTAAGGCTTTGTAATAAGGCCGTGATTCTCAACTAGCACCCTGGTTCAAGATCCTTTGAAGAGTGCTGCAACGAGATAAGCAGATAAGCACATGCTCAGGCTTTCCGCTGCTTGGCTGTTGCCCCACCCGGAACTGCTTGGTTCCTCTGCAAAGTAAGCACTGCAATAAATTACCATATTTACTTGAATACAAGACAAGATTTTTTCCCCAAATTGGCATGTGAAAACAAGCCCCTCATCTTATAATCGCATACAAGAAAATCTCATTAAATACATTGTCTATCATTAAACTGCTGTTGGCATGTGCTCAGCAATGGAAATCAACCATTAAGTTGATTAAATGCAGCCAACACTAAGCATGACTATAAAACACATGGCCCATACTGGGCAGACATGCTGATGGGAACCTTATATATTTTATTAAAAACCACACTAATCACCCTACACTTACAGGTCTAGGACGGAGGATACTTGCCTGAATAGAGCCAGACAGACTTGATGACTGAGCTCTGCTCAGTTGAAATTTTGGAACTTGACCATTGGCCATTGCTCAACTGAATTTGGAACTGATTTGGTGTTGAAGAAAAACTTGTCCTTTTGGATAGGAGCAAAAAAGACGGGGGGCATCTGCACCCTAAGGCCTTTGGGTCTGGGGCTTGCACAAGAATACCTGCCTCAGTTTGGAGGGGATCCAAAGCCTGAGACCAATGGGCCTGGGAGGAAGGATACTTGCCCCAGTGTTAGAGCCATGCAGACTTGAAAACTGAGCCTTGTTTAGCTGAATTTTGGAACCTGATTATTGGGCTTTGCCTAGTTGAATTTGGAACTGATTTGGCCTTGAAAAAAGATGTTTTTAAAAAAGAAAGTTTTTATTGCATATAAGTGCAAAAGTGCTGCTCAAAAATGTGTTTGTGTGTTACCTATGCTAAAATTTGCAGCAGTTTAGAAAAAAGGTACATGCATAAATTCTGGATGACTGTATTGTGGATACTATATGCAAGTGGCTATAGCCATTTTTAATTATCAAAGTTATTGTTTACAAAGTTGCTCCTCATTCCCATGTGATCAGGAAGTGCAGGGTCTGACAGTAAGGAGAGGGGGAAAGGGCTGCCAAGGGAAAAAGCTTGGGGAGAATCAGAGAGCAAAGGGGTTACCTGCCCCCTCCTCCCCAGCAATGTATTTTCCCTGCTATAGCACTGGGAGGGAGAGAAATTCAAGGCAAACTGACAATAATTAGATTCTATATCTGGAGAACAATAACTAATTTATAGGTTTTCCA